AACAAATATTTGATGAGAACTACTATTGGCAAGGCCGGTTTCAAGGAATACTTTGAACAGATGCTGTGCCGGCTCCTATAAGGCTCAGTCTAGCTGGGGAAAAAAGAATCCCCAATGGGAGGGATGTTCCCAAGGAGAAGTATGGTTGGTACCTAAGGGGAGTGAATGTCAGCTCCTGGTCTACCCTGAGGGCCTCCCTGAGGAAGTGACATTCGTTAAGATCTGGACGGTTTTACAACCTTGCTCTTTTTTATGCGGGCCTCTCACTGTTGTGGCCTCTCCCGTTGCGGAGCACAGGCTACGGACGCGCAGGCTCAGCGGCCATGGCTCACGGGCCCAGCCACTCCGCGGCATGTGGGATCCTCCCGGACCGGGACACGAACCCGTGTCACCTGCATCGGCAGGCGGACTCTCAACCACTGCACCACCAGGGAAGCCCCCAACCTTGCTCTTTTTAAACCTAGCATTGATCTTTCTCTGCTCGGCTCTATTTAGGAGTTTTCTGGGGACCAGGGAAGGCTCCTGGGGCTGCCTGATATTCAGAGTCAAGAGGAAAAGGAAGGCCCTGGGGTTGCGGACAGAACTGTTCTCATTTGACCAGAGGAAGCCTCGAGCACCCGGCTGTAGACCCAGGCATTTCTGGGACTTTCTCTTCCAGGCCAGCATGCTGACTCCCCTGGCCCGTGGCGCAGCGGAATGGGAGGAATGCGCTCAAAGAAAGATGCCATACTCCACTTTGTCCACTGGGTGGAGTATTTTAGCCAAAGAAGGGGCTTTTGGAGGCAGTGAAGTCCTAGACCTCTGCCTTGGAGGAGAGGCAAGCTTGGACTTGTGAGAGTCACGCCCATGAAACCCTCTTCCGCGGGTAACAGTCAACGAACTTCCTCAAACCTGTGGCCTGTGCCAGGGCCTATCCTGGGAAAGAAAATATTCTATGGGCAGAACAAATTCTAGAAGTTTAGAGCCAGAAAGCGGCCATGGGAGACCAGTGAGTCTGACCCTCTTTTCCACAAATTAGAAATGTGAGGGCTGAGAGGTGAGGAGACTCACCAAGGTCACACAGCTGGGTTGAGCTGTGTCACACCAGCCCAGGATCCAGGTGTCCTGGCTTCCGGGTCACAGCTCTCTCTGAGCTGCCTCCGAGTCGTTCAGATAGGTTCCCTACCCTGTGGACCCACCCATGTAGGTGTGAGCCCATATGTCTTATTAACAGACAAAAAAGTCTGAGAGAGAAAACTGATGCTTCCATCGGAAGTGGATGCAACGCCCCCTAGTGGTGGAATCCCTGTAGGTCTCAGTGCGGAGGCACCTACCTCTTCTCCCTGGAAGAAGAATGCTCTCTGCCTCAGCCCTGCCCTCCCTGCTGCTCCTAGGTTCCCTCCTTGAAGATGCTTTCCTTCACCCCCGGTCCAAAAGGGCCACCTCCCACCCACTGTCGCAGGCTCTCCCTTGTCCTTCTCAGCTGCTCTTTAGAGCACGTGCCTCTATTTGAAGTCCTATTTTACACGGGTGCACACACATATACCCCTTAAGTACATTGACTATTTACTGCTCATCTCCCCTCTCGGATGTAAACTCAGTGAGTTCAGATGAATAATGTGTCCAACCCCAGTACCCAGTAGAGCGTCTGGTACATAGAAGGTGCCCCATAAAAATGTATTTAATTAACAAATAAATGAAAGATCATGGCTTCAAATCCTGATTCATCTGTAAAACGAGTTATTGTGAAGATCCAGTTAAATAATATATGCAAAATGGTCCTGCCACCTGTCAAGGGTAAACAAATGAAAGGGGGAGGTTAGAATATGGGATTCTAGGGAGTGGCCACTGGAGTGAGGGACTGGAAATTGTTAGCAAAAACAAGGGGCCTATGTCATATATCGTGACAATAGTTAACGTACATTTATACTGATTTCCTTCCTTTGTTTTATCCTTTCTTGTTTAAAAACAAAGACAAAAAATACCTGCTAATGGCACATAAAGACACACGTACAATTCAGCACAGTCACATAAACCAGGCATGTGCAGGTGACACCCTGACCTGGGTAGCTGCTAAAACTGGAATGAAAAGCTGATTTGCTAGATGCCACATTGACTCAGACATGTCAGAAGCATCCCTTGTTTACAAAATAAATACATTGGGAGGGAGGGAGACGCAAGAGGGAAGAGATATGGGAACATATGTATATGTATAACTGATTCACTTTGTTATAAAGCAGAAACTAACGCACACAAAAATAATAAAAAATAAATACATTAAGGTTGGTGGGCAAGAAAGCAAAGGAAAAACAAAAACAATAAAAAGCAGTCAGAAAAAAATGGCTGGGACATAAAAAGTCGATCATGCAAACCTAACCTTCCTAAGAGGGGGACACGCATTTCACCCCCCATGTCTCGGTGTGGGTGGACAGTGGGAAACCCGATCACCACAACACGTGTGAGTAGCCGTGCCGTCCTCAGGGCTGGGCTTTGAGGCCCCAAATTGAGCCAGGATTTAGGGACAGGAACTTTCCACACTGGAGCTTTTTTTCTGTTAATACACAGTTGGTCATAAGCCAGACTTGAGGGCTAAACTGAATTTTTTTAAATTATCCCTTTACCCTGGTACTTTTCATCAGTTGCAAGTCAGTGGGAAATTCAAAGACTCTGACTTTAAACATCTCTCAGTTTTTTGGTAACATTAAAAAAAGCATATATTAAGAGAAGTGGAGCAAATTCTAAATAAAGATAAGCCAGTGAGATTGAGACAACTGGGAACAGTTTTGGGAAGCTGACCTTGAAAAGACAAGACATACATTGTTTCACTCAAAAATCATTTTCCCCTTAAATTTTCTAAAGAAAGCAGAGATCTTGCACACTTGCAAGTGACCTGAAAAGCTAACCACATCTTAGAACGGCTATTCTTGGCTCTATCTTTTTTTTTTTTTTTTTTTGCGGTACGTGGGCCTCTCACTGCTGTGGCCTCTCCCGTTGCGGAGCACAGGCTCCGGACGCGCAGGCTAAGCGGCCGTGGCTCACGGGCCCAGCCGCTCCGCGGCATGTGGGATCTTCCCAGACCGGGGCACGAACCCGTGTTCCCTGCATGTCAGGCGGACTCTCAACCACTGTGCCACCAGGGAAGCCGTCTTGGCTCTATCTTTAAAAGCCTAGAGGATTCACCATCAGAAAGAACTGAATGCTGTCATGGGTTTCAGCGAGGGGTTCCCCAAGGTCCTGGCTTCCTGGACATGAACCTGTCCTGAAGACAACTCCCGTCAGCCTGACTGGCAGCATCAGGACCTCTGGCTGCAGTGGAGGGGCCTGCTTTCACTCATGTAGGCCACTGAACTTCTTTTCTCCTTCTGTTCCCTGCAAAGTTTGTATGGGACAGAGTTCTTGCTATTTCCAAAGCTGATTTTCCAACCAGAAGAAGAAAAATTTGGCCTAAATCATGAGAGCCATTAGACTACTCTAAAGAGCAGAAAGACAGGGGTGGACTGTTGTTTGACCAGAAAAGATGGAGCCACTCAAGAAAAGAAGTGTCTGTGGGGGAATTGCCCCATCAGAGTGAAAGCACCCAGGAGCACCAGGCTCCAAGGCAGAGCTGAACCCTCACTCAGGCAGTTGGTAACGCGATCTCTGACAGGGTGCTGAGCTCCCTGAAGCTCAGTTAGCTCCCCTGTGCAATGAGCCCTAATCACGTCTGCCCCAGTTGCCTGCTGGATTCAAGAAGGCAGAGAGAAAAGGGTTCACAAACCATTACTATTAGAAACTGAGAAGTAATTATTACAATAACCTACGTTCCACCATCTCCAGGAAGAATGAAGTAACTATAATAGCTGCCGTGTTTGGGTAACTGTTTTGTACCATGCCTTCCCATCTCTGTATTCCAAGCCTTACAATATAGTCGTAATTATCCCCATTTTACATGGTGGGCGTGGTGATGGGGGGGAGAGATTGAGAATCAGAGAGGGTGAGTGACCCTCCAAAGTCTATTCAGCCATTAAGAGGCAGAACACGGCTTTGAACTCGGATCTGTCCGGCTCCTGGACTCTACAGCAGTCTGTCTCTAATGAAGAGGAAGAGGGCAAAAATGATACATTGAGGGTTAATGTTAAAAAAGAAAGATGACGGGGATGATAGCGAAAAGCCTAAGAGGGCTTCTGAGGAAGACTGTTGAACTTTTATTTTATTTAATTTTATAATGGGGCAGGATCTCCTGGTGTCAGCAGCGTTCAGCGGTGAGCCGGGGCAGAAGGAGAGGAACTGTGACCCCGGGTGGGCTGGACTCCTGGAAAACTCCACGCTTTCTGTGGAGAAAGGGTGACCCTACATTCCTCGCCCAGTGACCGGCAGAGCCATGGGGACACGGCGCAATGGCCAGCCAGGGAAAAGGCAGGTGCAGAACGTCAAGTCCACCTGGGGGTCCGGCTGGTCCCCAGGTCAGCAGTGAGTAGGTAGGGGATGAGAAGCCTGCCAGGAAGGAGCAGACTGAAATAGTTCCCTGGGGTAATAGACCGATTCAACAGCGTCTGAGTGGCCCTGTGCACATCCAAGTGCCACGTCTCTCTCCTCTCCTTTTCTCCTCCTCCCTCTTGAGTGAACTTCTCTCCTCTGACCTTCCCGCCCTCCCTATTTCATGTGCACACGTTCCCCCCCTCCCCGTCTCCCTCCCACCTCCTCCTCCACCGGCCTGACAAACTGTATCAGCGAATCCCTCAGCAGTGCCATATCTAACTTTTTAATTCATTGCATGATTTATTTTTAGCCTGAAACAACTGCATCCTAAAAATGGAGTTCCTGATGAGACAGGGGCTGGGCAGAGCTATGCGAGGTATCTGGGGCTGGGCCGCCTAGCCTGGCTCTGGTTCTACACATGCATGGGTGTGAGTCTCTGCACGCATCGTCCCAAGCCCACGATTACAGTCAGCAGCCGGAGAAGGTGAAGAGGGGGTTCTCAGGCCCAGGAAGGGCCAAGGAGAGAGACGAGATTGGCCTCTCTGCTCCCCACTGCTCCCAGCAAGTCCTCTAAGGCACCAGCCTCTTTCCTACACACGGTGTCTCTGGGAAAGAAAAACAAAACTTCGCCCAGATGAAGAGAACCCACCTGTTTGTGGTGGCGGTCTACCTGCTGTCCTCCTGCAGGGCAGAGGAGGGGCTGAACTTCCCCACCTATGACGGCAAGGACCGCGTGGTCAGTCTAACTGAGAAGAACTTCAAGCAGGTTTTGAAGAAATACGACTTGCTCTGTCTCTACTACCATGAGCCCGTGTCTTCAGATAAAGTCGCGCAGAAACAGTTCCAACTGAAAGAAATCGTGCTGGAGGTGAGTGGGGGGCCCCCAGACCACGTGGCCCAAGGGAGCGGGAGGCAGCCAGTGGTCGGCATGGGAGGACCTGAGGGCGCTGAGAGTATATCCTCAAGTCTTGCCACATTTCAGTCGCGGGCAAATCTGAAGATATTCTTGTTGCAAAGCTGGGATGTGCGAAAAACAGGGGTGGGTCCAGACTCTTAGGACGGGACAATTGAAAGTGCTGCATGGTGCATAATAGTCTGTAAAGATGTAAAGTCTGTCATCTGATGGTCCTCTTGATTTCTCAAGGGCAATAATTCCAGCTACTCTTTTTGTCAGAGAATGTTAAAGCTATTGTTAAAAAGCCTGACTGAAATGAAATTCAGGGTTATTTGCAGGTTTCATTCGGCGTGCTAATTTCCTACTCTTTGTTCCCTTAAGTCTCCCCATGATCCTGATGAAGCAGGAGTCATTTGACCTTGCCTGTCCTCGTGGGTCAGATGGGGAATATCACTAAGCGACGAGCCTCTCCTGTGACTCGGTTTTAGTCAACATTGCACAGTGTAGACGTGGGAAGATGTAAGCTGCGCGTTCATTAATGGGAATATTTCTCTTTCTCAGAAAGTTCTTGGTGTGAGTTCAGGGAAGATGCTGAAGTCAGTTCTTATTTCATCTGCATTACATGGCCTGTCTGTAAACCTGGCGCTGGGACCCGTTCTCTAATCCTGTGTGAGTGCCCCAGGAACTCCTCCCACAGTCCCTCCTGGACAGTTTCAGATCGCTTACACTCAGGAACACCTGTGAGTGCCAAGAATTCTAATAGGCACCAAGATCCCTTATCAGTCCCCAGGTCGGGCTCAGCCCAGGCACAAATCTGTGAAAAGGACTCCTGGAGAACTACAGCAGTTTATTAACCGGCGCAGCCAGAAAGCTCAGCTCAATCAGATGCCTTTTTTTCTTTCTTTTTTCCCAGTGTTATTGAGACATAACTGACATACTTTATAATCAAAGACTCTGATGAACAGAAGTACCATGTAAAACCCACGTGGATTTTAATTCTCAAGCAAAAGTGGCTGTAATAAAATCCAGGAAAACCACCCCAAACACATCAAAATATCTTTGATAATTAAAAAAGTATTGCAGAATCCTGTGTCTCCCGATCACCACACACGTATCTATTTTCAGAGGATTTATATACGGCAGTGTGGTCGTTACAGGGAGCTCTGGTGGACAAGAAACCTCTGTGGGTTACAAGTGAGGAAAAAGCAGGGACCGTTATTAGGTCTTTGTACTATATATACGGGAAAATTACAGGCTGGAAAAAACCAGGACATACAGCACAGCTGCTGCTCAGCCCATGAAATCCTCACTCACATGATTATCTCCATCTCAAACTGCCCTACTCAATTATAGAGACGTACTTATGAAAAGTTAATTGAAGGCGTAAGGATTCTACCATATCTGCTTGTATCTATCCACTTAGCCTAGAACTCAAAAAGAATGCCAGTGCAAGCAGTGACCCCATTTCTGATTCCCTGTTATATTAACACACATGCACACACACACACACACACACACACTCACACACAAACTCCCCCAAGAATCTGTCTCTCCCAAAGATGAATTCTGTACTCCCAAGGAAAATCCTGAGAAGGAGCTTTGCCCTGGACTTACCATCCTTCCAGCCACCTTTGATCCCAGAGTGCCCGGCAGAGACTGACAAGGAGGAAGTTGAGCACAGGAGGTAGTCTGATGCCCCACGGACTCCTAAATCACTAAGGGAAAGAGACCACAGAACTTGGAGTCAGGAGTTCCTGATTTATATTCTGACTTTGCCTCTACTGGACGCATGACATAGGGCAGGTTACTTAATTTCTCTGAGCCTCATTTTCTTATCTATAAATGAAAAAAATAACTATCATACAGGCTTATGAGATGATTAAATAATAATAATCAACATTTATTGAATGCTTCCTGCGTGCAGGGATTGTGTGTGGTAGCTGGTTTGATCTTTACAGTACTTCTCTGATGTAGATACAGTTACTATCCCCCTTTTACAGATGGGGAAACTGAGGCACAGAGAGGCTAAGTTGCCCAAGATCACTCTACTCGTGCGGGTGAAGGCAGCTTTAGCCCCTATACTGCGTTACTGCTGGAATCAGATGAGACGATGTACAAGGAGTTGGTGGATACCCTGTTCAGTATTATTTCAAGAGTCTTCCTTAAATAGAGTACTCAGCCTGTGAGCCCGGGCCTGGTGATGCCAGCTGTATCATCTGTATCAGCTGAGAGGCACGGAGCCCCAGAGGCGCTGCTCATGCAAATGTCCAAACCCTGGGGGAGGTAGGGCTCCCTCCGCGCGGGTCGGGGAGGGGAGGGGTGGGCCTTTGTTGAGATACCTGTCAGGTGCCCGCTGTTCCTCAGAATCCAGGACAAGACTGGTTCCAGGAATCCCATGACTGATACGAGAGGGTAGATGTGAGCCTCTAAATTTTTTTTGTGGTCAGAAAATCCTATTTTGTCCTCTTAATTCCCTGGACTCCAAACCTACACTAAGGAAAATATCCTGCCCATCCCAGAGCTGTGTCTGTTTGGGATAGAAGGAAGGGAGGAGACAGTGAAATCTCAGCCCTGGGCAGACAGCACAGGAAGGGGCGGGCTCCTTCCCTCCCAATCGTTTGGGAAGGTGGCTGTCTTTCTTCTTTTTGAATTTTATTTTATTTACTTTTTATACAGCTGGTTCTTATTAGTTATCTGTTTTATACATATTAGTGTATATATATGTCAATCCCAATCTCCCAATTCATCCCACCACCACGCCCCCGGGGAAGGTGGCTGTCCATGTTTTTTATCATAACTCACTATGACCTAATGTGTACAGACACATACACAGGTGAAACAAAAGTTTCATAGGACAACACATTATTATTTGGGGAATACTTGGATTTAAAATACTTTTGTCTCCTATTTTATTGTTATTTTCTATTCTTCTATTGTATTTCATTAAAAAAATACTAATCCCAACCTATTAAATTGATTTCCCTCTCCAGTGATGAGTTGCCATCCTCAGGTTGAAAACCCAGGGAATTTCTAAGGGTTAGAAAGTTAGGAATTAGAAGTTCAAAACTCGTCACATAAAGGCCATCCCATTCTGATAAAAAATATCCAAAGGTACTATGGTCAATGTTTTGTCTGCTGCTGTAAGGACTGACATTGAAACACCCAGAAACAGTCCCATCCACAGGGTAAGGAGGTCACTGCCTGACTTGGGGCCTTGAAATGCAGATCATTTAGTCATACATCTGTCACTTACTCTAGGTTGGGCCTTGGGGTGCGCGCCGTGGATACCGGGAACGTGAGGCACTCAGGTGGCTCATAGCCTGATGTGGAAATTACAGTGCAATACAAATGAAAAGCCAGTGCAACGGGGTCACTGTAACAGTAGGGCAATATAAGGTCCTCTGGGAGCGCAGAGGAAAGAGGAAGCACCCCGCCTGCTGGGAGAGATGTGGAAGGCATGACAAGGAAGAATTGATTTGTGAAAATGAGTAGAATTTACCAGACAAATAAGCGAGGGTTGGGGAGGGAACCGCAAGAGCTAAGGTTCTGATAGCTCCCAAATCTTTTTCCACCCCACTAGCTTTTTCCTAAAATTTGGCCACGAGGACCTCGTTCCTTTAAGTAAAATTTTTATCCCTACTTAGTCAAGCCCCTCTGGGAGAAGCCATCTTTTAAGACATTGCTATCCATTTACACTTCCATTGGATCAAGTTTGAGTTTTATGTTGAGAGCAGGGTTTGATAAGGGGAAGAGGAGAAAGGGAAGAATATGAGGCCATTAAAAGCTTAGGCAGAAAAAGCCTAAGTCAAATGGCACCGGGAGGCATCACATTCAAACTTTGCTTTGCGTTTGGTTGGGGTCTAATTCTGGGGGACCCCAGTGTTGGTGCATTGTACGTAGCTCTATACAGATGTTCTGTAAATGCTTGTTGAGTGAATGAGTGAAGTGTTAGAGCTCAAAAGAACCTTGTGAACCATCTAGATTTTTCTGAACCTCTCACGTCATACATGCGGCCTTACAGTGTTGTGACTTACACAGCTGGTAATCCTGATTCTTGGTTGGGCATTTCATCCACAAAATAACAACACACTAGTGTAAGAATATGTTAGACTATGTGGAAAAGACAAAGCAGGCAATAAGAACTGCCACCCAGAGCTAAACATGGTTAATGTTCTGATAGAGTTCTTTCCAGTATTTTTTTCTATGCATAAAATCACGTTTCCAATTAGGTTTATACCTTTTTTTTTTTTTTTTTGCGGTACGCGGGCCTCTCACTGTTGTGGCCTCTCCCGTTGCGGAGCACAGGCTCCGGATGCGCAGGCTCAGCGGCCATGGCTCACGGGCCCAGCCGTTCCGCGGCATGTGGGGTCTTCCCGGACCGGGGCACGAACCCATGTCTCCTGCATCGGCAGGCGGACTCTCAACCACCGCGCCACCGGGGAAGCCCATATACCATTTTTATAGTTTTGTTTCCTGCTTATTTCGTTTCAGTATATTGTGAGTGTTCCTATGTCACTAAATAGCTTTAAATTCTTGACAAACATAATGTTAATGCTGGCATAGTATTCCATTGTATGATCATACATATTTTTAAGATAATTTCTCTGTTTTTTTTCCTTTTAATTTTTTAAAAAAATTTTATTGGAGTATAGTTGATTTACAATGTTGTGTTAGTTTTAGGTGTACAGCATAGTGAATCAGTTATACGTATACATATATTCACTCTTTTTTAGATTCTTTTCCCATATAGGCCATTACAGAATTTCTCTCTTTTTGGACACTGACACAAAATTTTCAGGGTTTTAAAAACCTTTGTCTATTTATATTTTTATTGTTGTTTTAATGGACATTCTTTGATTTCTAACTAGGCTGAATTTTTCATAAAATTATTTGCCATTTACATTTTTTCTTATTTTTCTATGTCTTTTCCCCATTTTTTCTATTGAGGTGTCAACTCAGATTATAAAGGGAGT